CCTGTTTCTCCATGTGCGTGTGAGCAGACGTCACTGCACGCCTGTTTCTCCATGTGCGTGTGAGCAGACGTCACTGCACGCCCGTTTCTCCGTGTGCATGCGCGAGCAGACGTGAGCTGTACCTGTGTCTCTAATGGTGTTTTCTCGTCTTGCTTCCTGTGCTGTCCCACTGGCCCTGCCACCACATCCTGCCCCGCAGTCCTCGCCAGTCGTGGAGGAAAAGGTAAACCTGGGGCCCGCTCGCCACGCGGCCTCTGGGTCTGTGAGTTCCCACAGTCTGGGGAGGACGGCTGTGGGGGCTCACGTGTGCACATGGTGGCTCCCTGTCTGTCCCCCTAGGGTGGTGTTTTCTGTGGCTGACGGGGGAGACTAAAAGTCACATTTATGAGCCTGTGGCATTTAGTGGTGGTCACCTGGTCAGGCCCCCAGCACAGCCACCAAAAGGGGTACCGGCACAGGAGCTCCTTGTGTACCCCCAGCCTGGACGTATTGTCCTGCGTCTTGGCCACCCAGCACCACCCACTCCACAGAGCAGAAAGAAATCAAGGCATGTCCTGCTGCCAAGCCGCAGTGTGCCGACCTCGGCTCTGGGCCGGCTGCTGCCCGGGGTCAAGGCTGTCGCTGTGACCCGAGACAGACCAGGGTGGCTGCCACAGTGCACCACTCCTGAGCATGTGACCAGAGCAAGGGCGTCACTTGCTGCCGTTCCTTGTCGTGGGAAGGGGCTGAGCCTGCACTGCCCTCGGGAGCCATGGGAGTAGAGCCAGAATCACGGCTTGGGGCCGGCACCCGAGGGACCCTCACACAGTCTGGGTACAGCCCACGTGCAGTCCTAGGGAGGAGCAGAGGATGCAGGGCTTTTGGGTGCCGAGATCTCAGTCTGGGAGAGCGCCAGCTCCTCCCACACACGGCTGTCAGCCGCTGTTCAGGCCTGTGACCCACATGCACTGCTTTCCCCGTCCTGACTCGAGACCCGTTTGTGCCTGCTGTCACCCTGCAGGCCATGTCTGTGGGGTTGCGTCCGCTTGGGGTCTCGGGCCCGTGAGGGGCACTTCACCTAAGGTCATGTGTACAGTAGGAGACCGTTCCCCAGGCAGGAACCAGGAACCCTGTAGGGGAACTGTGGGTGCAGGATGGCTGGGCCGGGCCTATCTGCCTGTGTCCTGGTACAGCTGGCTGTGCTCACCTCCCTGGCAAGCCTTGCCTGCTTTCCGAGTGGGCTGCTGTAGGCACCCAGACTTCTTTGGAGAACAGCTAAGGTGGGGCTCAGGCAGCGAGGCCTGGCCACATCAGCGGATTTGGGACCTTCAGACCTTGATGTCTCTCCTAGGGCCTGACCATCTTCAGCTCCTCAAAGCACAGGGCTGGTTAGTGAGGATGTGGAGAAACTGGAGTCCTTGTGCATGGCCGGTGGGGATGCAAAGTGGGGCAGTCGCTGTGGAGACTGGTCTGGCAGTCCCTCAGAAAGTTAGATGTGGAGTCACCATGTGACCCAGCAATTCCACTCCTGGGTACGGACCCAAGGCACTTGACAGCAGCAACTCAAGCAGATTCGTGCACACCAGTGTTCACTGCAGCACTGTTGACAGTCACCCAGAGGTGGAAATAACACAAGTGTCTATCAACAGCTGAATGGATAAACACACTGTGGTCCATCCCACAACAAAATATTATTCAGCCCTGAAGAGAAACAAAGCACTGATAGGTGGCGCACCATGAATGAACCTGGAAACACTGCTGAGTGAGATAAGTCAGTCACCAAAGGACAAATATTGTGTGATTCCCCCCTCTATGAAATAGCTACAACAGGCAAATCCATCGAGGTGAGAGGTGCGTGGGAGGTTAAGAGAAGTCTCCAGCCAGGTGTATCACACAGAGTTCACAGTATGTTATCAGTGTGGTTTCATGTCTTCATCTGTCTTAAAAAAGTGAAGGGCTGAGAAATGTCCAAGAGCAGCCCCTCCCCCATCACGGGCGACAAGCCATGCTGAGCATCTCACGGAGGACTTGCCAAGGACCTCCCACAAAGAACCCCCAGAGGACCCTCGCTGAAGACCCCCACAGAGGACCCCACAGAGTATCCCCATAGAGGACCCTCACAGAGGACCCCACAGAGAACCCCCACACAGGACCCTCACAGAAGACTCCCACAGAGGACCCTCACAAAGGACCCCACAGAGGACCGTCACAGAGGACCCCACAGAGGACCCTCACAAAGGACCCCACAGAGGACCCTCACAGAAGACCCCCACAGAGGACCCTCACAGAGGACCCCACAGAGGATGAGGGTCCCTAGAAGCCACGTCTCCTCTGCCGAGAGGTACAGCTGACCCGGGCAGTGGGATTGAGACCCTTGCCCACACCCTGCTCTACGGGTTCTGTTCCCGCTGTGGTCAGCGGCTGAGATGGCGGCAGCTCCAGGGCCGGGACCCTGCCACTGCAGGAGGGGCGTCGGCCAGAACAGGAAGGCCACTGCCCCCGCGCTCCCCTCGTGGGCACAGTGACGGCAATGCGCGGCTCTGCGTGGTTCGCCACCTTTGCCGTTGCAGCCCGTCCGATGTCCCCAGACTGAGAGAGCCCCGCCCAGAACCGTGCTCCGTGAAGCCACCCGCCTCGCTCACATGGCCCCAGTCATCACACCATCCTCCCAGCTCTGTGAGGAGCTCACCACCTTCTCGCTTCCGGAGCACGTGAAGAGGGGCCGGTCGGGCCGCTCAGGAGCCCTTGTCCTCGTGAAAGTTCCATTGGTGCAGTTGGCTGGGGCAGCTGTGGTGCCAAGAGTCCCCTCATCATGGCTGCGGGGTGCCTGCTACACTGCAGGTGCCTATTTAAAACAGACCCAGATCACAGTTACATACCGAAACATGGAGGCAGGGACGTGTGACATCCCCTCGCTGCAGCAGAGACCCACCTGTGCAGCTGTGAGCCTTCCTTCGGTACGGGCAGGGGTGGACTGGGGGTCGCTGGAGTAGCAGTGGCCAGGGGGGCGTGTTGGCGCCTGGCTGGAAGGCCGTGTCTGCCCCACAGCTGCCCTCACTGCCGGAGCCAGCCTGGGCGCAGCTAGTGTCTGGGCATCGTGAGAGCTGCATGCTGCGCAGAGCAGGCATCTGCGCGTCCAGGAAGGGCTGGGGCTGTCTGTCCCTGCTGCCATCTAACGCCTGCTTCCTCTCTCTCCTGCACCCCAGCAGGAAGGAGCGCCCCACCTCTCTGAATGTCTTCCCCTTGGCCGACGGCATGGTACGTGCACAGACAGTGGGCAAGCTCACGCCTGCGGCAGACCACGGGCACTCGAATGACCACAGCCAGCTGCCAGCCAGCTCCAGCTACCAGGTTTTGTAGCCATGCCATGGGCGAGGGGCTCCCCTGTCACCGGCTTCCCCTGCTTGACCAGGCGGGCCAGCTCCACACATGCCCTTTGCCCAAGGCGGCCAGAGAGGGAGGAGCCAACAGACACCCGGGGTGGGAGCCGCGGGACCGACGTGCCTGCATGGGACACCTTCCGGGGCAGGCAGTGTTCGCGGAGGCCAGAGGCGCCCGCTGCCGAGCTGCAGTGTCCTCGGTCGGAGCTGGCCCAGGGCGTGTGCCCCTGCAGACCAGCCACCTGGCCTTCCTAGGAGGTAGAATTTCCAGAGAACTGGGGAGTCAGGCAGGGAGCTCCTCCTTCTCTCGTCTGTCTGTCTGTCTGCTTTTCCACGGTGACAACTCTTGTCTCCGAGCTTGAAGGGCTGAAACCCCGTAGGTGCATACTGCTAACGGGGTACTCCCAGAATGGGGGTGTAGTGGACCGGAGGAAGGCAGGGCCGGGGATCCGTGCTGTCCTAGGGGTGGGGGGCCTGGGGTCTGCTGGGTTCCTCTGGTGGTGACAGCATATGCTGCAGGAAGCCGAGGCCTGTAGGATGTGGGGTCGGGAGGTTCTCTGGATTCTTCCATCCTGCTGCCCCTCCTGCATGACTGTCCTTCAGCCTCGGAGTGTCTGGCTTGTTCACGGAGGGTCCTGCCAGCCTGCAGCTCTGTCAGAAAGTGACCCTCGCTTCTGCTTATTCTGTGGGCGTGCATTCTGTGGCCATTCTGGCCACCTGCCTGCCAGTTATTGGATATTGTTCCAGGGTTTGGGGGCTGGAGCGGAAGGCGGCGGGCCTGCAGGAACCAGTGCCTGTGGGATGTCGGCCCAGTTCTGTTGTCTGAGGCAGATGGCTCACACGTGCGCGCTCACACACACTCAGGCTCACACGCGTACACCCCCCCACGCAAGCCCTCACACTGACACGTACACACATACTCACGTTCCCATGCAGTCATGCTCACATACATGCTCACACACGTGCTCACGACTCACGCTCACATGCACGTCCTCACTCATGCGCACCAGCCCACTCACACGTGCTCGCACACTCGTGTACACCCACACCCATGCCCTCACACGCACACGCTCACACACATGCTCACACTCACGTGCACTCACGCTCACACACAAGCTCACAGTACTGACGTGCTCACACGCACATGCTCACGCGCTCGCGCACGCTCACACCGACAGGCCTAGGAGCTGGGCCTGCCCTGGAAGCCCTTGGACCCACACGAGCGACAGGAAGCAGCAGGGAGCCCAGCCCGGCCTTCCCTGGGTCCCGACCGGCCCTCTGACACCCTCCTGCGAGCCGGCCCTCCTGCTCACGGCCTCCTCCCTCCTGTGTCGCCCAGGAGTCTCCGTCCTGATAGACCGCCGTCGTTTATGTTTCAGTTCACGTTTCATTTGATTTTTTTTTTAATAATTACATTTAAGTTTTTATATCATGCCCTAGGTTTTAAAGTTTTTCTTATTTCTTAATTTTTTGTTGTTTATTGTTTTGTTTTGTTTCTTGTTTTTATGTACTGTATTTTCAGTGTTTTAACCAAACAGTTGTGGCTCTCATGGTGAGGAATGACCGCTAAGAGTTTGGGTTCTTTGCATTTGGAGGTCACTGCTCCCCGTTGATGTTTAGAGGTTGAGAGGTTTGCCTGTAGGTAAGTTGTGGCCAGGGCGAGTGTCTGTGGGTAAGTGGTGACCTATAGGCCCACAGCGCTAGGAGGGCCAGGGGGAGTGTCTGTGGGTGAGTGGTGGCCTGTAGGCCCACAGCCCCAGGGAGAGCGTCTGTGGGTGAGTGGTGGCCTGTAGGCCCACAGCCCCAGGGAGAGCGTCTGTGGGTAAGTGGTGGCCTGTAGGCCCACAGTGCTAGCAGGCCAGGGGGAGTGTCTGTGGGTAACTGGTGACCTGTAGGCCCACAGCGCCAGGGGGAGTGTCTGTGGGTAAGTGGTGACCTGTAGGCCCACAGCGCCAGGGGGAGCATCTGTGGGTAAGT